ATATCAAAAATATCTTACCATTAATAAAATACTATTATATTTTAATCTACTACAAAACTTAAAGATGTACTTTCTTCGGAACAAAGAGAGTATATATATATATATATATATGTAAATAGCCAAATTAATTTATAAGACAATTATAAAGATAATAAATGTAAATTACATATTACAAAAATAAAATAAAATTTTAATTCATCCATTTGAATAAAAATACTTATAAAAAAACAATATTAAAAAAATAATAATGAATATAATTTACTTATAATAAATTAAAAAAAAAAGATAACAAATATAAATTAAAATTAAAAATATTATTATCATAAATATTGCTTAGATTTTCTTTTCTAAATTTCGGTTTCCTCATTTTTTGAATCCATTAAATGAAAAAAAAAAAAAAAAAAAAACTATACAAAAATTATATTTAAATATTGAATTTTTGATTAAATGTTAAATTTGTGAGAAAAAAATGAAATATATTATATATATTAAAATTTGTGTTAATTTTTTTTTTTTTTTTTTTATTGGGCAAACAAACCCAAGCCATATATCCTACTCCCTCTATCCTGTAAATTTAAAATATTTGGATTTGACAGAAAATTAAGAAAAGTAAATATATTTTATTGAAAATGTAATACAAAGTAAAATGGTAATTAGATGTATTTTTAAAAGTTTAGTTAAAAATTATGGAAATGAAAAGATAATATAATAAAAGTATTGACATTGTTGTAAATAATGATTAACTAAATGTTAATTTATTGATTTTGGCAAGAGATAAATTTAATTTGAATAAAAAAAAGGAGGAGAATAAATCTGCATGGAGTATTTTTCAATGTTTTATATTTTTCTATATAATTTTATTTAGAAAATATTTATATTTGTGTATATATATAATTATGATATTACATACTACCTCTGTCCAAAAGTAAGTTTTTCAATTGAATTTTACATGCGGATTAAGATAAATTAACATTATATATATGTATAATAAAATAATGTAATGCTCATTTTACCTTTGACATTAAAGTAAAAAGTAATGTGAAAATAAAAAGTAGGAGTATTTAGATGAGAATTATTTTTTTAAAAAATAAAAATAAAAATTTTTAATTTGAGCAAATTAAAATAGTAAAGTGAAAATTTTATTTTTGAATAGAAAGACTATATATTAGATATTTTTATAATTTTATTTATAAAATATCTCATTTTATATGTACCGAAAAAGATGGTGTTTTTTATATTTTATATGAATCGATTTTGAAAAATAGAATAAAAAGTAGAAAAGAAGATACTAAAGGAAGAAGACGAGGAAAATGAAATATCAAATAAATAATATTGTGTGTAAGTATATTTTTAATTAATTTGGTTGAGTGTTTACAATATTTTAGTTTTTAACTTTTTAGATCAATCCAAACTTTTGAATATTTGGTTTGAAGAAATATTAGGGGCAACATTCAATGAATTTTGCTATTCTTTTTTGCTTGTTTTTGTTGGTTGGAAGAAAATATACTTATTTTTTTCGTCGAATAGAGCATCGCCATACAATGCGTAGAATAGTCTAACAACTACACACATAAACGTTAATTTAGTAATGAAATATTTACTTTTGTGTTTTTCTTTTTTTTTTTTTGTGACCCTTTTTCTCCCGAAGCATGTAGTATCTGTTGTTGTGCTGTATTATTTGCTTATCTAGAATCATTTCTCGTCAATGTGAATGATGTTGCACATACGACTGAAACTGATCACATTGTCGTATTTGTCATGCTCTAAATGTGACAAACAAAATTGCATCTTTACAATTTTATTGATATTAGTCAACTCTTGCTTGATTTGGTTGATATGTAATTTGATGAGTCCTTTTTTTTGAATCATTCATCAACGGTGCTCCTACCTACATATTTCGCGAATGGTTGATTCTTCAGTTTTGTATAATTTTTTTCGGCTGCATTTTTATGCCTTGATCATATTCTTGGTTTAAAATTAATTGACTTACATTTTTGCATTTTCACTTTCGCAGCGGTCTAAAAATAAACACATACTTTCACGAGATGTTAAAAGACATAGCAACAGTTTTAATTCGGCCTCTTCAAAGCTTTCCATCTCCAGAATCTTTAACGAACATCCGCACCACTTTACTTTTCATATCAACACTAAGGTTATGTCATTAAAACTCTAAATAGCTTTTGAGGATAAAAAATGTTATGAAAATAAATAATGCTATAGTGATTGTGTGTTATTACTTATAAATGGAAGAAAAAATTCTAAATTTACCACTAGAAGAATTAAAGAAACACTACAAAAGAAAAAAAATAATTTTGCTACAGATCATTGGTATGAAATTCATTTAATTTCAAATTTGCTATCATTTTTGCTACAAAGTATATGTTGGTCATAGTTAAAATAAATTTGAGGGAATAATTGCTACAAAATTCATCCCATCACAAAATTGCTAGACTATTTGTTACAAAATATATCCATATCACAAAACTACTAGAATGATTGCTATAAACCTTCTTCGTCACAAAACTAAAACCCTACACAAATACTAGAATTCATACTATTTCAAATTAAAATCCTTCTCCACTCCGATATGATTCACTCATTTTCTCAAAGTACTGTGGTGTAGCGGAGGTTGGTTCTGGCGGCGGTTTGAAGATTTTGCTCGGTAAGTTTATATTCAATTTTATTTCTCTATCACTGATTCTCGATTTGGTCTTTTCATCGCCAAGGAGTTATTCTAGCCGGAGATGCTTCTTTTATTGTCGTTACAGTAGTTATTGGCCGGTTAGGTGATCGAGATGATTGTTTGGTTCTCGATTGATTATACGTTTAGGTGCGGCTCCATTTTATGCTTTCGTTGCTCATCCATTGGGTGATAAAAAAAGGAACAAAGTACGATCAAGTAGAATTGTTCCTCAAGCTAGTACCGCACGATTTGGCTTCGGCAGTCCCTAGTGTACAATCATCTTTTAGCGGTAGTGACGGGCACATTACAAGTTCATTCGCCAACAATGATCGATTAAAGAAGGTAGAAGACAATGTTGGGGAAATCTGCACTCCCATGTCTCATGTGGACCAAACATATGACTAACTTGATGTTCTATATCAAACCATAATAAATCAAAATCTGACTATCATGCAAGAACTTAGGCGGATGCGAGGAGGTGACTACTACCAACTTGATCCTGATTCTGATGATGGTGACACATCGGTTTATCTTTTGATTTTCTGTATATTATTGATTATTGGACTTAATTCATATTTTTGGAAAGATATTTTATCTAATTTTATTATATCGTAGATATTTGGATCCATTTGGGTGATAATTTGACCTTCAATCCATGTTAATGTATGTATTTTTGTTATTGTTACAAGTTTGCTTCTTGTTTAGGTTATATAAATTTTGTGAATGATATGTATTTCAACGTTGAAATTAAATTGCTTAATATTTAGATTTTGAAGAAAGAAAAAATTAGCAAGATGTTAGAAATATTTTTTTCTAAAAAAATTTGCTACAAATATCACCCAGCAATTTGGGTCAAAAATCATCTCTCAGAGATTTCCCATAGCAATATTTGCTACGGAATGTCGTAGAAAATATTTATAGCAATTGTTACGAATTCCATCACAATTTTCCATCACTATAATATTTATATTTTCTTATAAAAATATAATATTTTTTTACAACATATCACATAAAGGACTATTTAAACTAAAGCCCAAAACCAAATTTTAATACTAAACTTCAAATTAAAGAACACACTCCATGGGGGGTTTGTTCTTTTTTATATTTGTTGATTTGTTGTTTTAATTTTTATTTTAAATAGTAATTAGATATAACATTTTAAAAAAATTAGTATTTTATAAAAAGAGTCATAAAGTTTAAAGTAAAAAAATTGAGAGATCCATATAAACATTCCCAAAATAATATAATATATTTTATTAAAAATCCCAAAGTAATTTTTTTTTTTTTTTGTTTTTTCACAGAGAAGAGCTTGTGAATGCTATACTAATGCATTGATAAGTATTAATTACATTTGGCAAAAATTCTAAACCTAATCAACAATCTAACCCCATAGCTTCATAGTAATACTACTTTCATTACTTAAATAGATATTTATTTATTTTTATATTTGAATCTTTAAATATTAATATTATATTAATATAATGTACAAATAAAGAAAAAATTGATAAAAAAACACTCCAGTATTAAATAATACAAATATAATAATATTTAGTAAAAGATATTTTTAATATTAAATATAAATCGATAAATACATTGTTAAAATGCAAATAGAATATTTAGTTTTTGTTGCCTCCACAATAAATATAATAATAATAAATTGAATTTGCCAGTTTATCCAAACTCAATGGCAACCTTCTGACCTTTTTCTTAAAAAAAAATAATAAATTAATTATTATATTTTTTCCTAGTATTTTTTCGTTTCAAAATAATATTTTTATTTTATCATTTTGGCATGTTCCAAAATAATAATCCAATTCTATTTTTGGTAATTAGTTTATCACATTTTTACAAAATTAATCCTACTTTTTCAGAATTACATCAAGTAGATGCATTTTGGTCTTTTAAAAAGTACTTCCACCCACTATTACTGTAATATTATTAATCCTTAACTGTCATGTACATCTCATATGTTCGTATTGTTTTGGAAGCAGATGAAGTATATTTTTAAAAAAATGATAAAATATCAAATACTCTAACCCATCCCATTTCAATGTATTTTTTTGGAGTTTTGTAGCCGATTAAGAAATAATAGTATTGTATTAATTAGTAAAATGTGTAACAAGTTTTGATTGTTTAGTCTGTTCGAATTTATATAAAATAATTGTATATGTAATAATATATTTATAATTTAAGTAAAAATTAAAGGTATTGTAATATTAGTTTATGATTACTTTTACTTAAAAAAACAGAAAAAAAATTACTTTTGAATGAGATGTACAAAACTAATAAAAAAAAACTTTGTATTGACAGACGAAAATAGTAAAAATGATAGTATAACTCACAGGACGGAGAAAATAGAAACTAATTAAAAAAACTATAACCATATTATTCTACTAAACAAAAAGGGCTCTAGTTAGCCCTCAAGATGCCTAAGGGCATCCACAACGGGAGACGCTTGTTGAGAAGCGCCTCCCACGTCATCATTTATTAAATAAAAAAAAATTAAAACACCAATTAACATAAGGAACGGTACATTGCGAGTGTACCGTTTCTTCCAATTTTTGTGGGCCATGGTCCACTTTTTTATTCAATAAATATTAAAAATAATATTTATAATATATACTTTTTTATTTATATTTACAATAATTTGTTTTATTAAAATATTAGATTTAAATTTTATTATATGAGTTTTATTTAATATTTTTTTTATTAAAATAATATTGTTAATAACTATAATTTTTAATATAATATTTTTATATTTTATGTAACTTTTTAATGCATATTTTTGTAAAGCGGATTTAGTTGAACACATTTGGGAGAAATTTGGTCAATCGACTAATTAATTTATTTGAAAAATATATTGTAATATTATGTATTTTTTATTAAATTTAAGTTTGAATTTTTAATTAGTATGTGGGTGTGGAATTATTATTTTTATTTATTTTATTTATTTATGCTAAATAATTATTTTATTTTAATTAAATATTATAAGAATAAAATATAATGAAAAAATATAAGTTTATTTTATAAATAGATAAAATATTTAATGAGGTGGAAAAAGTAAAGATTTTAAAGGGTTATTTGATGTGAATGTAAAATATAGTTGGAGTTCTTCGTGACGTGGCGGAGAGAGAAACTGACGTGGCACAGGAGAGAGAATGGGAAGAAACCCTGGATGGGTTTCTGTGTTGTGGATGGCCTAAGTCTTATCATCCTCATAGGCATTGCCAACAAATCTTTTCCAAAAAAAATGTTCCCTCCAAATCTTACCCATCTTTTCGATCGGAATCCCCTTCGTCTCCGGGATCATATAGTACTCGAACACCGACATTACGAGCACCGACGCCCCGAAGAAGAAGAAAAGCCCCGACTTCATGTGGCACAACATCGCCAAAAGAGTTTGCGCGATCACAAACGTCATAAATAGGCTCACCGCAACCACGACACTTTGGGCCGCAGATCTGATCTCCAACGGGAATATCTCGCTCGTCACAACCCACGTTAGTGGGCCCCACGAAAGCCCAAATCCTAGTAAATAGACACATATCAAAATCACGACGGCCCACGCATAGCCCTTATCGACCACATTATGGTCGCCAAGTTTCCCCGCCATCACCCCTCCGATCAAAATTAGGGCTACCAACATTTGCACGCCCCCGGCGTGGAACAAAGGGCGGCGACCTACTCGATCCACTAAAACTACGGCGAGTAACGTAAAAATCGAGCCCACTAACCCTGTTAATATTGCTGACAATAGGGACATGTTCTCACCGGAGCCAAGTGTAAGGAATAGTATCGGCGCGTAAAAGCCTATGACATTTATTCCTGTTAACTGTTGAAAAAACGGTATCGCTATAGACATCACTAGTTGCGGTCTGTACTTCTGGCGAAGTAGATTTTTGAAAGGGTGTTTTATCGCCTTGGAAGCGTAGCTCGCTTCGACAAGATCATCGAGCTCATCTTGGACGTCGTCGGTCCCTCGGATCTTTTTCAAACCTTCCCTAGCCTCGTCCGCATTTTTTCTATGTTGGACGAGGCTATTCGGCGTCTCGGGCAAGAAAAGCGCCCCGAAACCGAGCATTGCAGCCGGGACACCCGCCGCGGAAACCGACACCCGCCAACCCCATCCGCCGGAAATCTTTGCCGTCGTATAGTTGATCAAAGTAGCCATGTTGTAGCCGATGGTGAGGCACACTTGGAACGCGATGTTGAACGCTCCTCTGTATTGCGACGGCGCCATTTCCGACAGGTACAACGGCACCGACTGCAGCCAAAAAAGAAATTCAAAAAATTGATCTCAATAGAAAATAATTAGGTAAAATTGATCATAATTTTTCTGTGCTTTCGAAATTCAGCGTAAATTTTTTCAATACTTTGAAAATTTCATGACACCCTTTATACTTTAAAAAACATTGCATAAAACTCCATTGCCATAAACATTTCTTTTATGATGAAAAGATGATTTCCTATCTATATGTTTTGCATAACAAAGGGGGTTATAAAGGGTGTCATGCAATTTTTTAAAGTAAAATAGAGATTTACATTTAATTTTGAAATCACATACTGAGTTGATGCCAATATTTTTAAAATATAAGAGGATTTTATGCCATTCTTAAAATAAAGGGAGAATCTACTCTGAGCAATTTTGCCAAATAATTAATCTGAAATCATAGAAGAAGAATTGATATCAATCGAAATCGACCTGGTTAGCGAAGCCGAGGCCAATGCCAAGCAAAATGCGGCCGAGGATGAGCATGTAGATGTTCACGGCGGCGCCTCCGACGGCGGCGCCGGCCATGTACGCAACGCCGCCGACAATGATCGACGGCCGGCGGCCGTAGTCCCGTGTGACGACGGCGGCGAGGAAGGAAGAGATAAGGCCGGCGAGGTATAGCGAAGATGTAAAGGTTGTCAAAAGCTGACTGTCGAATTTGCAATAATTGCTAATCTTAGTGTCTTCCCTCATCTTCTTGTAAACCCCCGGGAAGAATTTCTTCAAAAATGGATCCATCGAACTCACCCCGCCTGATCAGACACAGACAAAATCACAATTTACAGAGATACATAAATATATATATATGTATATATGATTCGGACAATCTATGTCTTTAATTTCTGCAATTGAGCAGAAGAAGAATTGAAGGACTGACCTGAGACGCCGATATCGTAGCCGAAGATAATTCCGCCGGAGGCAGCGACCAGACAAGAGAGCAGCACGTAGCTTGTGACGCCGCCGTTGTACCGCCGGCCGCCGTCGTGGGTCTGTGACTGTACGGACACCCCAACCGCCATGGCTGAGTGAGTCAGAGTAAGTTGAAGAAGAAGGAGAAATTAACTAATTTGGGAATTTGAGAAAGATAACGACGACGACGACAGGCTACTGTTCTTTGCAGGCAAGTGTCGTATAGTGGTGGCCACTGTTTCGATGTCGTGATATTTTGAGAAATAATAAAATTTGTTAATTTTTTTTTAAATCCTACTTCCAATTTATTTAATGTTACATTCATAAAATAAATAAATAAATAAATAATGCGGCTCTAAATGTCTCATTTATTTTTTTTATTGATCGTTGAATATTAATTAAAAAAACTGTAAAATATTTTCATTTGTATCTTATAAGGACATTTGCACACAAAATTATATAATATTTTTAATATTAAATATTATGACACAAATGATAAATGTGACCTAAAAACGGATTGAGAAGTACAATTTTAGCATCTTACAAAACTAAAAAACTATTCTAAATTTATTAAAATTTTATTTTAATAATACATGGAATATACGTGAATAAAATGTAAAAATATTCAAGAAGCTATAAATACCCAAATGGAGTCTATTTTTAAAGTTATGTTTAGATTTAGGACAATAATTTTAAAAGCCCCAACGATTAGGTGGTTTCTAATATATGATTAAAGTTCAATATTTAGAAAAATAATATATATATTTTTTATTTTTATAGTACTGATTACAAATGATATAAAATAAATAAGACTGTGAACAAGTTTAATATGAATACATGGAATTTTTTGTATCATTTATAAATTATTTCTTCTAATAAGTTTCTTTTAGCATTGTTCATCAAATTTTTTCGATATTATATCGAATAGTTATTTTTATTTAAAATCATGTATTAAAATCTATATTGTATAAAAATATCACATCTAATATATACATTACATCAACCATTTTTTTTTTTCTGGGGATATGATCTCGCACTTTTTTTTTTTTTATTTAAAATTAAAAAATATAATTATTTCTTCAAAATATTACATTAATTAGTGTTTAATTTGAAAGTTTACTATTTTCAGATCTCTTACTTAAAAAACCTTTAAATGATACATTTGAACTCATATCTAAATAGAGTCAAAACGAAATATATATATATATATGTTTTGACATTTGTTTTGGTTGGATGTAATTCGTAGGATCATCATATGACAACTTGTCTATTTGGAGGACAACGTTATCTACAAGATCATCAAACTGACATTTCTGTTTAGTTGATAACATTGAATATTTGTAAATTTTGAATAATGATGATTTGATCGTAAAAATTAAGTCATTCTAATATAATTCGACGTGATTATTTTAGATAGGGATATATGGTTGAATAATTAAGGAAGATTTTCAAATTTTCTGATATACTAATGAATAGAATTTTGGAGAAGATTTGACATACAAAATTTATTCCACATTTGAAGAGAAAATTCGAGGGTGAAGATGAAATCGAAAGTTTATAGAGAAAACAATCGTCATTTGGAGAGAAAATTTATTCTATAGTTGAAGAGAAAATTCATGAAATTAATGGCTCTGTTCACCCAACATTTATAAATAAAATGATTTTCAGTGTGCGACATATAAAATTGTGTAAAAATTAAATAAAATATATTATTTTAGTTTGAAATTTTGATTTTTCGACTATTTATAATGAGTATTTGAAGTTATTATTTATTTATTTATTATTTTTTAAAAATCGCAATTGAAAAATGATGTTGAAAGAATTGAACCAATATGAGCTTATATTAACCCTTGATGATTCTACTACAAATCTTTTAGTTTTGCAGAGATCTAATGGATGTGTTTATTTTGTTTAATAGTTTGAAAATATATTTTTTTACGTGAGATATAGAAAATTATAAAGATAATATAAAAATAATAAATACGTTTAATATATTAATTTTTTTAAAATAATGTATTTTATTATTATTATTATTATTTTTTGCAAAATAGCAAAAAAATCACCTGTAATTTTATGAATTCGCTGAAAAACCTTAGTGTTCTAAAATTATAAAAAATCTACTTGTCGTTTTTAAAATGTTGCATATTATATCTCCCCTCTCTAAATTTAACTAACGGACGCTTAGATTTTATCAAATTTGACAATTATACCTTTATTTATATATTTTTTAATTTATTTCCTCTCTTCTTTCTTTTTTTCTCCCTAACTTCTTCTTCCATCTTTTAGATTTCTAAGTTTGGTAAAACATAAAAAGAAATTGAAAGTGAATAATAACTTACGCATTCTCGTCTCTATCTCCATAGAAATATATCAGTTTATGCATAAAAAATCGTATTTTAGGCGCGTGATATACAACCACCGTTAAATCCTAACGGAAGGAGCATTTTTTGCAATATTTTGAAAACCATAAGTATCTTTTTGGAGTTTACGAGAGATTTTCAACAAATTCGAAAAATCACAGGGGAATTTTTCGCTATCGTACCTTAAAATCACGCTGAATGTGTTTACTTCAACATATATATTTTAGAACTATCAATATAAATATAACAAAAACCAAATATTAAAAAAATAACAAAAACTATTATATATTTTTCCTGTAAAATGTGATTGTTAACACATAAGAGAAATTTGTCTTTGAAAATCCCTCTTTCTTTTATGTATTTTCTTCATTCAAAACATAAGAGATTTCATGTTCAGAAAAATTACTTTTATTTTTTAATTTGTTAGAATTAATAATGAAAATATATTTTTTATATAATTATAGCATTTAAAGTGAGTGTCTTGTGTGGAGAATATTTATGTGTTCACACTTAGGAAATAAAGGCTGTTAATGGGCAAATTTAATGAGTGACTTGTAGCACTTAGCTGCCACAATCTATATACCTAACTTGTCACCTAATGTTATTATACGTTAGAATTTTATTAAAAAACAAATTATATAATTCCTCCTCCGTCCAAACAATAAGTATACATTTATTTTTTGCTCAGAGTTTAAGAAATAATAGTGTTTTAATTATAGTTAGTAGGTAAAAGTAATGTAATAAGTATACATTTATTTTTTGCTCAGAGTTTAAGAAATAATAGTATTTTAATTATAGTTAGTAGGTAAAAGTAATATAATGTTATTTTTGCCCTTACTTTTTGGTATAAAAGTAATGATGTGTTGTAAAGTAAGGATATTTGTGGAAAAAAGTGGGATATTTAGTGAAATAGTTACTTTGTAATTGAACGTCCCAAAATAGAAATATGTATAATTTGCAGCTGGACGGAGGGAGTATTTTCTTTTTCGTGTTAAAATTATGTTATACTTCCCCGTCCATAAATAAAGTAAACATTTACTTTTGGTGCGGTGTTTAAGAAATAATAATATTTTAATTATAGTTGGTAGTTAAAAGTAGTATAATGATATTTTTGTCCTTTTTTTTTTTGGTAAAAATAATGATGTGATATAAAGTAAGGATATTTGTGGAAAAAAAGTGAGGTATTTAATCAAATGTTTACTTTGTAATTGGACGTCTTAAAATAAAAATGTGTATATTTTCTAGTTGGATTGGACGGAGGGAGTTTTTTTTTTTTTTGTCATATACTACCTCCGTCCACCCACAAAGTACACAGTGACTTTTTTGTGTTGATTTTTTAATATTAATTATTATATCAAAACGTAGTATAAATAAAGAGAAAATGACAAAAATACATCTATTAATCTCTTATAATACAAATATAATCATATTTTTTTAGTAAACTATACAAATATAAAAATATTTTCAATGTTAAATACAATTGAGCAAAAACATATGATTACTTCATGGTTGGACGGAGGTAGTATATGTTAACTTATGCCTATTATATTTATATATAGTAAACAATTTTATTCATTCAAAATTTTATTACAATTATTTTAACAAATACTAATAATTAATTTGTCACTATTTTTTGTATTAACACTTATATTTTTATTAATATTTAGTAAATTTACTATAATAGTTCTATTTTATTTTTTACTATCTTATTTTAATATTAAAATATTATTATATTTTAGTGTTCGTGTACTAGCAAATTTACGTAATTTTTCCAGACGGAGGTACTAAATTTTTCTTATTTTAATATGTTCTAGTTGATATGGAAATTATTGAATTTAATTAAAGCGACACATTCGTGTGCCTTTGCAATTGGCATTGATATAGTGAATAAGTTGGTCCAAATTGTCATTTAATTTGATTTTTTATACATAATTTTTTTTATTTTCATAAAAATTGTGGTTGAATATTTTATTTTTTAATGAAATGTCTTTTTATCTCATCTCATTTGATATGTTTTTCTTTGAATTAAGTTATCCAATATATTAATTTGGAAGCTATTAGTTTCGATTAAAAATTTACTAAGAACACACTAAAAAATTAATAGCTATGAATTCTTACGTTTAAAAAAAATAAAAAAATAAAAAAAATTGCAATCTAATTTACTTTCAAATAATGTTATAGAAGAAAATTTATCATAGTAGATTAAACTACAATTACACAGTACACTCCCTCCGACCTTATCTAATTCCTCATTTGTGTTTTTTAAGTAAATTTAAAATAATACTTCATTCGTCCAGTAAGAAGAGTAACATGATTTTTCTGCGTGTATATCTTAGAATATTAATTATTATATTAATACGCAGTACAAATTAACGTTAGATACAATGACGCAAAAGGCAAATGGTGCCCTTCTTGTGGGACGGAGGTAGTACTTCTATATTCATTTATAAAAATATGTAAGATAATTTTAATATTTTTTTGAATTTTATATATAAATTAATTGTATATATAATAATATATTTGTAATTTATATAAAAATTAAAAGTATTTTTGTATTATTGTCGTAATTATTTTGACAATAACATAAAATAGATATATTTGGATGGAATGGATAAAAATGATAAAAATAAAATATTGGAGCAGAATTGAGGGAATGCTTAATTTATCTCTACAATACTTGTATTCATACGAGTAAATTAAAAACAAAAAGCAAAAACAAAAACAAATATCGGCAATTTAACATAATCAATTAATTTATTTAAAATTTACTTGAATAAAAGACCAAACTATATATTTCTTGAAGATAACACAAAATATGGTTAATATTATTCTAGCGGCGCTTTTATGAAGAAT